TGAGGGTGTGTATGAGGGGCGGTTGGTGCTCGGGCGGCGGGGGGGGAACCCCTTCCCCAGCTGTGCGGCGGGTGTGTAGTTGGGGTGGGTGCTCAGAGGGGCATTCCCTCCTAGGGGCTCGGTGTTGGGGTGGGGGCCCTTGCTCCAGTGGAGCGGAGGCCAAAGGTCGGTGCTGGGGGACACCAACCCCCCTGGGGTGTCTTTTGGGGGGGTCAGTGCTGGGGGAATCCGGCCCCTGTGGGGTGTCTTTTGTGGGGGGTAGTGCTGGGGGACACCAACCCCCTGGGGTGTCTGTTGGGGGGGTCAGTGCTGGGTGGGAGCAGTTTCAGGTACAGAGCAGGCTCAGTCCAGGCTCTGTTGCTCCCCCTATGACCTAGCTCGATGGTCCCCATTCCCTGGCCCCCCCACCAACACTTTCATGACAGACTCCTATGGGATGAGTGAATTTGCACCATAGGAAAAAAAAATAATGCAGACGCTCTGCCTGTAGAAGCTCCTTTGCTAGTAAAGATAGAACTCATTTTGCAGTCGTAACCCTTAATGTTAATTTCAAATGTTTGCAGAGGCAGGGAGCAGCTCCGTGGGGAGCTTTCTGGGGAGGGGCAATGCCCAGCCTGGTGGGCATTGAGCCCTCCCACCTTGAGGTTTCTGCTGCCAGCACTGTGCTTACACAGGCAGTGCAGGGCTCGGAGTGGTGCTGCCTCTGCCCTTGCTGTGGGCAGTGCCTGTGCTGCAAACAGAATCTGTGTTCCCATCCTCTGCCCCGGAGCCCCCTGCCCCTGTCAGCTGGGCAGCAGCATGGCAGGGGAAGTCTGGGCGGTCATTTGTTGTGGCACAAGCATCTATGGCCGTGACAGCATTGCCCAGCTCCGGGGAACTTGGTCATTTGGAAGAAGGAAACCTTTGCAGGAAACAACAGTGATCGCCTCAAGACCAGTAACTAAACACATGAGCCTTCTGTAGAAAGTAATATTCTGTTTTATGTGAATATTTCCAGCAGCAAATGTAAAGACAGATGAGAGCACGTCAGAGAGGTCAGTGTCCCTTGAGGAACGTCACAGAAGCAGAGCTGTTTGCATTCAGAGTCACTCACATTAAGCTTTTTTTTAAAAAAAAAAAAGAGAAAAAAAAAAAGAGAAGCGTTGTATTTCACTTTATTTAGCTGCTGTCTGTAGCTACAGGTTTTGGAGTTTGTTTCCAGTGTAATTCACCTTTTTCCTCAGTGTGGTGCTGGAAACCTTCAGTCCATCTGAAAAATGGTGGCTGGCTTTCTTGTGTGGGGTGTGGCAGAACAGTTTCATGACAGACTCCTAAGGGATGAGGGAATCTGCACTGTAGGAAAAATATAACGCAGATGCTCTGCCCATGGAAACTCTTCTGCTAGTGCAGTAAAGGTAGAACTCGTTTTGCAGTTGTAACCCTTAACGTTAACTTGAAACGTTTGCCGAGCTGTAGCTTCTTCTTTGTGAAACATGAGAAAATCTTGTTTCTGAGCAGAGAGCAGCTCCCAGCCCTTCCCAGTAGTGCGTGCTGCTCACTGAGCTGTTCTGACCTGCGAAGATTTTCTGTGCTGGGGAACGGGAAGTTTGTACAGATAACCTGCATCTTCCCCATCTGGATGAAATTTTGGTTCTAAATTAAAGGTTGAGCCAAAAAGTTGTTAGAAATGAAGGGAAGATTTAAGAAATAGCATTTAGGAAGGACCGTAAGTTGCACAAGCTGAAAGGCTCAGATATTGGATTGGAATAATTTGGATTTGGAGGAGGGGCAGGAATGAATCTGCCTTTGGATAATTAATAAGTGGGCTAATTAGCCATGTGTATTATGGCTGTTTAGTGGCCAAGAAGAAAAGCAGAATTGTTACAGCCAATTATTTTCTTCCATATAGTCTAGTAAAGATGCAGTTTAGCTATTCTAGCTAAGAATTCTGCCTGTTGAGTACATGAGAGTACAAACTGGAACCCTCGTTAGTCAGCAGAATGTTTGACTAATTGACCGATTAAATTAAGACTGGGTCATGTACCTCAGTTTGCAGTCCATGAGGTTGCAGGGTGGATGTTAAAAGCTGTGTGTCTGCCCTTTGTATGGCGTTGCCGTGTTTAATCAGTATCTTGGGTTGTTCTGATTTTTCCGAAGGATCAATTTTCTCCCCTGTGACGCGAGGGGCACAAGCCCCATGTTTGAACTCTGTCATGGAGCATCCCTTGTGCTCGGCTGCGGTGGTACTGCCTCGCTCTGTGCTGCTGGCACTGCCACGGTGTCACCCCATGTCTGTGGTGGCCTCGTGCTGGGGCGGTGGAAGACCCAGCCCCGTGTCCCGGCAGTGCAGAGGGGTGAACATGTGAAGGGAGAGAGCAGTGTCTTTGCTCCAGGGGTAAAACTGTGCTCCAAGAGGGTGAGAACCCTCGGAGAAGAGACTGGCCCCAGTGTTGTTGTGTTCCCCTCCCAGGGACACCAGCGTAATCCCTGTTCCCTGCTCTCCAGTGCTGCTTTCCTCTCTGCCAGCCTCCCCCGGAGGAATTTCCCAAAACATTTATGGGATGTGTGTGAGCCGAGGGACTGTGCCAGGTTTTTGCTTTTAAATGGGTCTTTTACTGTGTCGAGGCAGTAAGTTTTGGGTGAGAATGACAAAGAAGGTGGTGGCGCGCTGCTGTTGTGTTACAGCTGATCTGCCTGGGGGTTGTCTGCTCTGGCTGCACCCGGCAGCTCTGCCAGATAAGAGCCTCTCTGGATTTTAAACCTCTTGATAAATAAAATCTTTCTTTGTGGCTTTGCTGACAATACGGTATTTCAGTAAATCATGGCTGGTTTCAGACAGGGTAAGCTCCGGCAGCGTGCATCAAGTGTAGCCTCTCTGTCTGTAGACTGGTTGCGTTCTGCAGCGTTGCAGAGATGAGCTCGAAACTCAACACAGCGCGTCTTGGTTTTCAGTTTTGTTAACAGAAGCTCCCAGTCCATTCATGTTCAGCACAAGAGGTTCCCTGAGCATGCCTGGGGGAGCTCTCTGGCATTAGCCATTGATTTCATCAGGAAGGGCTGGCCTTTAAATAGGATGTGGGTGTTATGTTTGGGTTTTTTTTAAGATCCTGTCAAGGTCTTGGTGTGTGACCTTGGACCAATTTCTTCATTCCTTTTCTTTCTCCCTCGGCTCACAAACACAAAGCTGAGACAGTGAGTGTGACCTACTTCACAGGCGCTCAGGAGGGTGTCTTGCTAAATTAAACCCAAGGTGCTTTTAAGCTCCCTCGAAACATTTGAGGGAGAGCAATGAGCAATTTTTATTTGTTTATTTTTAATAGAAGGGAGGCTTCAGGAGCGACAGCCTTGGGAGCTAAGGCTTTCCTATGGGTGGCTGTGTTGTACTAATGTACCAGAGAGCCCCAAATGCCAAGCAGGACCTGCAGAAGCTGAATTGGGGGAGTAGGGGGGTTGCACCCATTCCTAAAGAGTTTGCAGGTCTGTCTTGTTTGTTTGAAAAACACCTAAAGAATGCAAAACAGTAAGGAAGAAAATGGACCGTAAGCATGCCGGGACTGTTGTAGCTAGGCACACAGCTCTTCAGCTAGATCTTCCTCTTGGCACAATGAGGAGTCTTCCACTGGGGTTTTGATTAATGTTTTTTTATGGCTTGTAAAATGACTGGCAGCCCCAGATAATGCCATCACAGACTAGTGAGAGGTGGCGTCGTGCCTCGCTGTGGGTGCCCTCAGTTACCTGCCCTCGGAGGGAAAGGGGATGTGCTGGCCAGGAATTCCATAACGAGTAGAGAAGTTTGTTAAGGATGATCATTGCTCAGAAAAGACAGCAAAGGCAGTTGTATAAATGCTGAAATGCACCAGCTGCTTTCCCAGCAGTTGATCAAAGTCAACTCAAAGGTGTAAACAGTTTTGATTGTTCTAAATCTCGGAGCAATAAAGCAGGCAGACATATATTTAAGTCAGCTTTTCTTGGTATGATTAAACCCAGTGAAAGCTAAATGACATAGACATGCTGATGGCTGGGACTCGGTGGCTATGGAAGGGTGCTCAGCTGTGAAATAATGAATGAACAGTTTTGATGGAGATGAGCTAAAATTGACTGACCTCCTCCTGCTACCGGGGGGAGCCGGGGCTGGTCCGCAGCATCCTTTGCTTTTCGGTCCGTTGCCGTGGTTACGGTCTCCCGGCAGTGCTGCTGGTGTATCGATTGCAATCCCGTGAGTTTCAGCTCCGGCTAAAAAGAAAATCGCTGCGTTTTTGGTGTGGGAAGCATCAAGCGTCGCCCGATGCTGCTGCTGCGTCCTTGCGTGGTGGCTGCCTGGCTGTGCTGCGGTGCTGCTGCGGCTGGAGCCGTGCGGTGCTGCAGCTGTGCAGGGCGCAGGCTCCCAGCACCCGCCCGCCGGGTCCTAGTGCCTTGGATCCGTTCTCCCTCAGAAATGGGGGTGGGTGCTCCCCTTCCAGCAGCCTGGGCATGCCCGGGGGTGGTGTTTGGTAGCATTGCGGGGAACACTCGCTCCTGACAGCTTGTTTTTGAATGGGTGAAGGGTCCTGAAAAGCCTTCTCCTGGTGCTTGGGTGGGTGGGTGTGAAGCACAAAGAATTTGCAGGGCTGTACTGGTCAGTGTGGTGGGCTTCAGTCTGGCTATAGCAGCACAGTATGTGTCATTAATTTCCTCCATATAATTGGCCTCATATAAGTGGCTCTTGAGAGACAGAAATAAGGATGCACTCCTGCTGTCAGTGCTGGGACAGGAGCTGGAGTTGAGTTTTTCTCTGGCTCTTGCACCAACTACAGGGCTAAAATTGGCCTTTTATATACCTACCCATCGTCCTGAACAGTGTTGACTTTCGTAAGCGAGAAGTAACTTCAAAGACGAGGGGGCTGCTACAGCTATAATTGGGCAGATAACGTTCTTGCAATCTTTACACTTCTCAGGCAAGAAAAGAACCCAGGCTGACTTTCAGGTCACCTAAGGGGAGCTTATAGTTTAGTTAAAAAAGTCTTAAACTCAGCAAACTCGATCTGGATTTATATTGCCACAATAAAGACAGAACCCTGAAGTTAGAATTTCTTTTCTGAACACTAGTTTGGAACACAAGATGGAAAACTAAGCTGCTTATAAATCAAAAAAAAGCTTTGCTGAAGCAATTTCATGGGGATGTGTGTGTGTGTGTGTGTATATAAAATATATATATAAATACAGTAAGATGGAATTTTGCCCTTCCTAAATAAATAGTGGGGAATTTTCAGGAGGTTTTAAAGCTTCCTGATCAGTTTGCTTAAACTGAATAAGCTGGTAGTGTTCAAGTTACGTGGCGTATGGACTGTTTCTTATCCCAGATTTCAGCAAAAAGTCTGAACATTCTAAACTGAACATCCTTTGGCTGTTTTATGATAGTTTATCTGTAATGATGAGTATTGCATCGAGGGTTTGGGCAGCTACCCATCGCTGTGGGTGCTAACAAAGCCATGGCTGTGAACAGCGTGCAGGATGGCCTGTGTCCCTGGGAAGGAAGGGTGGTGCAACACCAGTGCTTTACCCATAAAGTGTGACATGTGGAGATCTATAACGTTGGCTACTTTTTGCAGGTGAATGAAGATTGCCCCAAACTTGGGCAAGAACGAGCTGGATGTGTGAATTATGCCCCAGGCTGATCTAGTTCAGTCTCCCATGCGAATACACCTCTCCTGAGATCATCTGAATTGGATTTGTGAACAAACACACAGGCAGCTTTTTACGGTACGTGTTACTGCCTAATAAATGCCTAAATGCCTGAGAAGGGGCTGTGCTGCAGGTGCTGAGGAGTGAGTGCCCTGGGATTACTGCTGATTGCACTGGTCCCTTCCCTGGTTTGCTGGCCCCTGCTCAACACACTGACATTGCCTGGCCTTGCTCCTGAGTCTTTTCATCACCAAGACCTGCTAGAACTGTCCCTGTTTGGGACATACAGTGTCTTTTTATGACAAGCAATTTTCTTGTTGGTAGTCTAAAAGGTGAGGTTGCATCTAGAGGCAGGTAATCTGCTTGCCCAGTAGTTGGTGTGGTTTGGGAATAAACTACGCCAGGGATCTGTCAGGAGCTTGGGGTTTGTCTCATGCAGTTGTGAGATAAACTGGGCAGGAGCTGCCAGTTGGGGATCAGGCAGTAAGAGGTGTGACCATAGCCTTTACCAAGGCTGCTGCCATTTCCTATGGTTTGCTAAACTAAATTTATTAAAGGATGTTAAAACAGTAAATTAATTTCAAACCTTTAACATGAATCAGAAAATGGGGTATGTTTTTGTGGAAAAGGGGATGCTGTAGTTTCTGGTAGCTGTGGCAGCCTCTGGAGGTGCCAGGAAGATTTATTCATCTTAGTGATTTTGTTTGATTGAAACAGCAGTTCATCCAAAAATGGCACTCACTGAGTTTGGAGAACAAAAAATGTTTTTCCTCTCTATAGAGCAGACTTTGGGCTGAAATCTACTGGTTCCACAAAGGCTGCAGCAGCCAACAGCCAGCTTCATCTTATGGATATTTTTCTTGTTTGCCCTGATTGTTTAAGACTGTTTCAAAGTGCTTTAATTACGGAAAGCTTTACATATCCTCATGTAATGCAGTTTCAGTTAACTAATAAAACTGTTGTCTAAACTTGTTTTCTTGTCTTTCCGTCAAGTTTTAATTTTCATTCCAAATGAATGAAATTCCGACCTTCATGTAGCAAATGGGAAATGGAAACAGAAATTGGCGAATGGTGCTATGTAACTTTGTTACATTAAGAAATGGTGTCTCTTTGAAGCCTCCTGGTTGACAAAACAGTGATTTTCATGTTCAGCCTACCTCTGTTCACAAATTCATTTTCAAAGGATCTTGGGGGGTTTTTTGTACATACTTATTTCAGTATGGGTTTAGGAAATCTCAGTGCAAAGGGCTGGAGTTAGTACGTTTTGTGTCCTCTTTGTGGTCTGGGGCTGTAAAGACCCTCCAAAGCTGCTGCAGCCAAGCAGCCTTCAGGCATATCCCACCTGGTGACCAAAGCGTTCCAGGCTGTAAGGGGGGGAGGAGAAGGATGGGTCTGCCTTTTGGCATGCTATAGACCCTCTGGTAGAGTTGGGAAAAGCTGGGGCTCTGGAGACTTGTCCTCTGTCGTTATGTGGGTTTGGGAAACTGGGATCCCTGAGTGGGAGGGAGCACAGAGCCCTTGAGTGGTGTGGGGATGGTGGTCCCCAGCTGGGCTGGGCTCCAGGCGAGCTTGCCTCCAGCGTGGTGTTTCCAGTGGCTGCTTCCCTGGGGCTCGGGGTGTTCAGTGGGGCCCCACAGGCTCCGGGTGCTGGACTCCAGCACTTTCGGGATCTCTTTCCTGTGCTTTGCTCTGGGAGGGAACAGACGTTTCTTGCTACTGTCACAGCTCTTCCCTGGCTGCCCCCTGGCCGATGGCTTGGGGGACGCTGATGTTTGGCATCTCTTGAGGGCAGGTGTCCTTGGGGGGCAGAGGTGCTCCATCAGCATGTGGTGCAGGTGGCTCTGCTCTCGTTTTTGACCTATTTCAGCAGCTGTAGGATTTCTGTGTTCCGTGGGAAGCTTTTAGAGCACTCTGGTGGAGCATCACTGGCAGTCACTGCTGTCTGCTGTCCTTCTATGTTTCAGCCCTCCTGTAGCATTGCATGTTTTAAGAAGCTCTTTTGAAAATGTAGGCAGGCTCCAGCCTTGGCACTGTAGTCACAAGGGGAGAGTGTGCTTTGATCACTGTGAGCCTTGCCTGTGCTACAGCAAGGAGCTTGAACCTTCTCTAATATTTTAATTTAGCTTTCAGTGACCTGAAGTTGAGGCTTCTTCCCCTTTCTTTGTTGGCAGCTTTTGTTTAAACTGCAGGGGCTTAAAATTGCCACTAACATATTGTCCTTCTTGGGGTTAATCATAGGCTTGTTTTAAATGTTTAAATGTTCTCAAGTTTTGCATAACTGTTTTTAGCTTTCCAATGAAACTATAATGAATCCCTAATTGGATATTAGAAACTCAGTATGTGTTCTTACTGGAAGTATCTTCACTGCATACTCCTCCGTGTTGCTTCATTCACCCAGGTTTGATTTCCATCACTGCTGTGTTTGTGGGTGACACTGTGGGGAAATTGGGCAATTTGATGCGAGTTTACTGATTGGTGCCAGTGATGGGAGCTGAGGAGGGTCAGTGGTGCCCCACCGCCTGCCAGTGCATTCTCACTCATTAGGGTACCAGCTGCTGAGCTGACTGGTAGAATGGGCTCTGTGGGGATGCTTCAGGGGGAAAAATTGTGTGTACGTGTGGGGAAAAAGTCCCTTGCGCTTCAGGTTTAATGTGGAAAACTCTAGGATTGGAGAAGAGGGAGAAATTAGCCGTATATAGCGTTTGTAATTTTCTTTTTAAATGAAAGAAACACTCTTCCAGCTACAGCTGGTCTCACTGGGAGGAAAGCCTTCCTGATATTTACTAGTATTTTGCTTATTTCCGAATATATCCTGTTATTTCTAGGGCTCTGTGGGAAAAACAGTGATAAGTTCCCATCCCTTGAGAGGGGGAAGTGTCCCACGTCACCCGTTCCCAGGCTGCTGCAGGACCGTTCACCCTTCTGCGCTTTCTAAACTCCCTGTGAAATTCTGTGGCCGTTTCACAGTTTTCTTCGTTACTTGCACGAAGGGTTTCTTTAACTTAATTTCCCTGCTTGTCGTTCCAGCCTCTCCTTCGAATGTAAACAGCACTGTGGCTCTGCTGGGGTTTGCATCCAGCAAATATTTGTGCAAGATGGCCATGCCCTCTCTTTAGCCACAGTTCTCATACATCTCGTGCCACGGCCAGCTGTTCTTCTGGCTCTGCCCCAGCCTCGGAGGCCCTGAGGTCGCACAGGAAAACAGGAAAAAAACCCTTTGGTATTTAGAATTCAGATTTCCTGAGTCTGTTCCGCGCCTTGATCACAAGAACCTTTTTCCTCTTGCATTAAATTAAATGTGTGAACCGGAGGCTCCTCCCATCCCCAAACACCATGAATGGGTTTCTCTTGATACTGGGGGCACAGCTCTGAGTTATCCTGTGATCGTCTGAGCCCCCGTGGTGGAGCAGGAGATTGCAGGAGCATGGTTGCTCCCATGTGCTCCAGCAGCCCTGCCAGGCTCCCTCCTGCCCATCCAGGAGTTTCCTGCCCCTGGACCCCTGGATGAGCAGGAGGGATGGGTTCGCTGTGGGACACCTCCTTGTCAGACCTCTTGAGCTTCTTTGCTGCTGTTGTTCCAGGGCAGGCAAGTGGCAACCTCTGCTCCTGAGCCAGAGCTGAAGCTGAGCTGTGTGCGGGGCTCTGTGGTCAGGTGTGTGC